TGGTGAGAGTATCAGGACTATACAAGATTGTGTCTCTAAATGAAGAAAATGAAAAGGTAAACTAACACAATAGGATCAAGTTCAAATCTCCAAATCAGCGATGATCTCGTTAAATACAGTTAGGTAATTTGCTAATGATCTTCCTTCTGCCATTCGATGAGAGTATAAACGCTGCTTGAGGTTCAACTTGCTTGTCAGACTTTTAGTCATGCACAATTGCTCCAACTTCAACCATAGAGTAGATGCTAAAACCTCATTCAAAACGTCCTGAAGAATGGTATTTGATAGATGAAGATAAATGTGATGAAATGTCTTCTTATCCTTCCGTAATTTCTCCTCCGCAGTCAAAGTTACGAGCATAGCTTGTCAATTCCAAACAATACATCATCCAAATCCTGCTGTGGGAGTACTGCATGCATCTTAACCTGCCATAGGGAAAATCTGGTGCTCCAATCCAAAAGAGAAATTTCATACTTCATGGAAGCCATCACGAAAAACCTCGAACAAATCAAACGTTGCTCTCTTGCGAAACTCCTGAACTCGGTGCTCTGATACCAATTATTGTAAAACATCTAAAATATCTCTTATTAGAAGAAATATTAATATACTAGGATCGATGTTAGCGATGTTGGAAATACAAGAATTATGTATTATTTGAATATCACTTAATGAAACCAACCACCGGAATGAATTGTTGAAGTTATATGGCAAATAATGAGTATTAGATCAAGTAAAAGAATAATAAAGAAAAGAAGTACGGTAGTGGAATTAAGAGATTTTATTGACTCAAAAACAATAGAGAAGAGAGAAAATTACAATGGATTTTATAATTCTAGTAACCTATTTTCTCACACTTACGAAATTGTATAGAAAAACCTAATATTTATAGAAAATATGTAGGAGACGTCCAAACCCTCCTAGTGGAGTTGTTGATGAAGTAAGATGCCAAAAAATCATGTCCAAAAAGAAAAATGCGAAAAATCCGAAACATTTCAGCTGACAGAGTGGCAGACATTCTGCCTCGACAATTTTTTTTTCCTAAATTATTTTCTCCATCCCGAAATCTTCTTCAAATTCAATACCAATTTTCAACTCCTAATGAGCTTCCAAAATAGAACTTCAATTTGACATAAAACTCTAATAGCATTCCAAGCTTAAATTCTCTTTGATGTGCACTTCAATTAGAATTTTTCAATACTTTAAATAAGGAATTCAGGTCACATCCAAATTCTAACAGTCTACTAAATGTAACCAATTCAAACGGTGGTCTATAAAATATATATTAGATAGTTTTCAATTAAGGAATTCAGGTCACATCCAAATTCTAACAGTCTACTAAATGTAACCTATTCATACGGTGATCTATAAAATAAATATTAGATAGTTTTCAAGATTAAATCATTTCAAAATAGGCCAGCTGCGGTCTATGCAAATACATTGAATTTCAAATATTTTATTATTTAAAAAAGTAATTTTATTGTAGAGTAAAGTGGCCATCGAACGTTTGCTTTGGCTTCTGATGAAATTATTATCTTATTCTTACTAGTAAAACTTCAGAAAAGACAGCTATACATTTGACCCTTTCTAATAAAAGGAAGTGATTCTTTTTTTAAGATTAAGATAAGATTCTTCTTAGTTATTTTTGGTTTAATTGGACCTCTCTTATTTACTAAATAATTCTAAATTCTATAGTAAGTGCAAATAGTAGATACTTTTTTCTTGTAGGGCTAAAAGAAGTAATGAACCACCTGAAATTTATTTAAATATTTGGTAGCAGTCTATCTATATCTCTAAAAAGTATCTCAATAAAACTATTTAGCAATTTTCAATTGAGATTGACGTTTGAAAATTTTATTAATAGATTAAATTTGATATTTGAATAAGTGATAACCATTGGTGGTGGCCGAACAATTGATAAAATGTTGATTGGGTTAGTAAATTTTCTTATCGAGCATACCCGTTGAAGTATCGAATACATAAATATCCCATGTCATTTCAAATATTACATATACTTCCACTAAAGTGTCTCTCTCCAAGTATCTAATACATAAAGATATTACATATACTTCCACTAAAGTCTCTCTCTCTCTCTCTCTCTCATTTGCTAATTATATCGACATCACAATTTTTGATAACCACTCATATTTAAATTACAGTGAATGTCCGTAACTTTTCTCATTTTTTCATTTTTGTCCCCAAGTATTTTCAGCAAATTCTTATCATCAACATTCTATTAATTTACATATCTTGTTTCTAATGATAGCATCGGTTGAAAAAATTGTTAAGAGGACGTAAAAGCACTCTTTGTCTTTTCTATTTTAAAATATTTAAAATAAATAATAAATACAAAAAGTCTGACAAAATATGTATCCCTCATTTCAATGCATATTAGCAGAATATTTGGAGAAAAACTTTATCAAGGCAAAATGTGATAATTAATTAAAGGTTATTTCTTGTTCTTTAATTTAATTTTTCTAATATTTTTCTGATATGTTAAATTAAGAAAATTAAATTTCTCCTATGATAATACCAAAAAACATAATTAAGTTTGTATTCAACAAGGTTAAAAGTTTGGATTACTTTTCTTTTCCATTTTTAGTCAACCTTTTTATTACTTTTCTTTCATAACTAATTAGTTTCACTGACCAATATGTAAATGTAGCAATAAATACATAATAAAAAAAAAATAGGACACACATTAACACAAACGTGAAAATTAACATGACGTGACATTAAATATTGATCAAATTTCATCCCTTAAAGTCATTTTAGAATATTGATTTTTTGGAGAATATGTGCTTGAAAAATGAGGAAATATTTTCGATTTACGTTTAATGGAAATATTGGTTGAAAAAAAAAAAGAGTTTCTATGAAAAAGGGGGCCAAACATATTGAGATATCTTCTCTTTTCAAAAGTTAGAGTAACCATCTTCCAAGTTTATACTTCGTTGCATATTCCATATCAATTCACTTAAAAGAAATACTACTAAATATTGTTAATATTCTTGAAAATATATACAAAATGTGATTTATTTCATAAAATAGTCTTATGTTTTGCTATACAATTGACGTATTATTAGAGAATTCACATAAATACATGTACATAACTTAATAAAGGTAATTAAAAATTCATCAAATATTTATATCGCTTGCTTGATATCATTTTCTTAATTTTTTTTATTTTTTACACTCTTAAGATATATATGATTTTAAGTTTACAAAATTAATTTAATATTATAATAACAATAAAAATGCATTGGAGTGGGCATCGAAGGTTTGTAGCTTAGAGTTCTTTTGAGTTATTTTTTGTAGTAAGTATTTTAGATTATATTTGTTCATTTTTTAAAAAGAGTAATCAATCAACTTTCACAAAATAAGATTAAAATGAGATAACTTTGTACAAAATGATTAAAAAATTAAGGGCACGTTCTCTTTACTATTTTCAAACTATTTTCAGTTTTTAGTTTTCGAAAATACTGAAAATACGTTTACCTGTTTTCAATTAAAACCAAGCCAAAACTTTATTTTTTTAAATTTTTGAAAACAATTTTTCAAAATAACAAAAAGAACGCGTTTTCAATAATTTCAAAATGGACACTCAAAACACAAAATTCAAAATGAATTCAAAACTAAAAACTAAAAATTGAAACACGAAGACACAGTCCCTAAGTCTCTTTAAACAAAAACAAATTGTTTTATGGCTTAATAGCAAAATACCCTATAAGACGACGTGGGAAAAATTTCCTATCTATTGAAAATATCAGAAAATATCTTTATTTGAAACCTTTAGTGCGAAATATTCCCCTAGTCCATTTTCTCGATAAAAAAGTTGTTAAATGAAGAATATGTCCTCCTATTTAAACAAAACAAAAAGAAAAGAATGAACAAATAAAACACTAATTGAAATAGTAGTCCCAATTTTTTTTTAAAAAATGTGCAAACGAGTTCTAAATAAATAATTATAAAATTAAAATTAAAAAGGAAAAAAAATATAACCCGACATAAAAAGACAAAATGAGTATATATTTTTATGTAGGTGACAAATGTTCACCAATTAAAAACTTAAATTCTTCATTAAAAAAAATACAACCCGACATAAAAAGACAAAATGAGTATTTATTTTTATGTAGGTGACAATTGTTCACCAATTAAAAACTTAAATTCTTCATTATTGGCAGCTGCTAATAGACCATAGGGAATTATATTCAAAGATGGTTTTCTTGTTGATTATTTATTGTCCCCAAAAAGGTCAAAAATGGGTGGAATTTTTTATTGATTAAAACATCATAGTTTTACCAGCTTCAATTCTAGTGAAATATGTATAAGGTTAGTAAAATTAAACTCGAGTTAATTAGTCTAACACGGCAGCCAGTCAACCAATGAAGCAATCCTGTCAAAGATGTGCATTGAATTAATTTTTAGGTTAGGAAACTAATCTCTGTTGGCATAATTCTCCTCCTTTTGATAATCAGGAAACCTTAATATTGCTCAACAACGAATTTCTATAATTTGAAATTCACACTAAAGAATTAGATAACATTAAAGAGCCTGTGAAAATGATGCAGAGTGGTGCATTATAAGGAAACGTGATAACATATAATTCACGAACAATTTTCTAGTTCCTGTTGATTCAATTGTCAATGCTGGAAAATTATACATTAAAATTCATTTTTTTCCCGTATAATTCTGAGAATTTAAAGACATAATTGAGAATACTAACATTTTTTATTTCATTAGAATCCACATTTCAAGATCAAAGTGATCTTATTGATACAATAAAACGGAATCCTATTTTCTAAGAAAATTTCAAAATATCTAAATGCTACCATAAGCAAAACCATAATCAAAGAAAACAATATAAAATTTTGAAGACAGATGCTTGCTTTTCTTACAAAAACATTTTAAATTATTTTATGTAGTCGTCAAAAATGACCACGCGCCGAAGAAATATTGCCATGAAATAGAGTTTTTGTCTATAAATAGCGGCAGTTCTTTGGTATATGATCACGAGCCTCAACCTGAGCTATACGCTCTGCAGTTTCAACATAAACAGCTATTCTGCTTCTACTATTTCCAATAAGAGAATGGCCCCGGCTCTTGCTGCAAATCCTATCAATGGCGAAAAGGAGATTGTTCGTCCAGTTGCCAACTTCTCTCCAAGCTTATGGGGTGAACAGTTTATCAATTTTGCATTTGATGCCGAGGTATAGAACCCCTTATATGTTATAGATTATTTATTTATGAGTTTGTGCCTCTGACTAATTCAAATCGTTTTAGTTTTCGAAAAATTGAAGTCATTTATCAATTAGGATGGCACTCCAAATTTCCTCGACTTTTAACATTTTCAGCATAAAATGTTCTTAACAAGATTTTTTCTGTTTGCATAAAAACGATTGTTTTAAATAACTTGAAATTTAATAGGAAAATACTGCATGGCTAGTGCCTTTAACTCAACTTCTGTCCCGGTTTATAGGGTGAACAGTTCATAATTTTACTTTTGATACCAAGTTCTTGATCCCTTCATTTTCTTCGATAGATTCTATTAAGTCACCTCATCTTGTTTTCTCATGTCTAGTTTTCATCGAGAAAAAAAATATATTTGACCCCTATTTTTTTTTTTTTTTTGACAAAAATGCATTTTGAACTAGTGATTTGATGGAGAATGTGTGGTTTAAAAAAGAAAAAAATGGGTTTACATGTAATATTATTTTATTGAAGAATGTGTTTCGTGGGTTTTTGCTCGCTAACAATTAAAAAGGGATCAAACGATTGTGTAAGGGACAAACCTCTTGGAACAAAGTCCCAAAAAGGGGTATTTATTGAATATGAAGATTACAGTTTAGACACGAACATGATGCCTCCAAGGGGCGCAAGCACACAAATACAAGGGAATTAAAGTAATTAAAAGTTANCTTGAGCTATATTAGTCTATACTTTCAGCATAAATTGTTTTTGTTCTGATACCAGAATAATTTCTTTTTCTTTTTCTTCTTCTTGTTCTTGTTCTATTTTCCAGTAGTGAATCAGAATGGCCCCAGCTCTTGTTCAAAATTCGACCAACTTTTTGAAGGAGATTGTTCGCCCGGTTGCAAACTTCTCTCCTAGCTTATGGGGCGAACAGTTTATCAACTTTTCTTTTAATACCGAGGTATTGATCCCCTTATTTTTCTTATTTTTTGTCCCCCGCGATATTATGAAGCCTATGTTTGGCTCCAATTTTTTCAAAATTCATTTTCAATTACATATTTTCTTATAAAATAATTTTACACGTAAATCGAAAACATTTCATTCATTTTTAACCACACATTTTCCAAAAAAAAATCACTATTTGAAAATTCACGTTCTTATCAAAATGTGACTCAAACAAGGGCTAAGTGATATATGTTAGAAAATTCTTAAACTGTTTCTTATTTTCTTAACTCTGCCACTTAATTTATATAATGACAAGTCATTACCGCTTCGGTGAACAAGGGCTAAGTGATTTATGTTCTAATCTTAGATGGAATCTAGGAATACCATTTCTTGTAAATTTACTTGGAAAATACAGCTTGCTAATATTCCTTTTCTTTCATACACTATCATTATGTACATTAAAGAAGTGAAAACTAGCTTGGCTTAATTATAATAAGTTGCTCTTGTGGAATCTTACAGTTTGCGGAAAAATATGCCAACGAGATCGAAGGGTTTAAGAATGAAGTGAGAACCATGCTGACAGCTCCCGGAAAAGACAAGGTGGAGACCATGAATTTGATCGACACACTCGAGCGTTTGCGTGTTTCGTATCATTTTGAAAGCGAGATTGAAGAACTATTAGAACGTTTCTTTAATCTCAACTCAAACTATGCAGATGAAGCCTATGATTTGTACACTGTTGCACTTCATTTTCGTTTATTCAGACAACATGGCTACCGTATATCTTGTGATATCTTTAAAAAATTCATAGACGAGACTGGAAAATTCAAAGAGTCTATTACGAGCGATGCAAGCGGATTGCTGAGCTTATATGAAGCTGCATATTTAAGAGTGCATGGAGAAGATATACTAGAAGACGCCCTCGCTTTTACAACAGATAACCTAAAATCCATGGCACCAAATCTAGGCTCTACCCTTGGGAAACAAGTAGCTCATGCCCTTGTTCAGTGCATCCATTTTGGGAACCCAAGAATTGAGGCACGTAACTTTATCTCCATCTACCAAGAAGATGAGTCCAAGAATGAAATGCTGCTGAGGTTTGCCAAATTAGACTATAATTCATTGCAGATGTTGCATAAAAAGGAGCTCTATGAAGTATCAAGGTAATGTTCAATTGACAAGTTCATAAAATTAATAGCTCTATGTATGTACAAGTGTGTTTGTACATCAATTAATAACATGCTCCTTATATATATTGCAGGTGGTGGAAAGATTTGGACCTTGTTTCTAAGCTTCCATACGCTAGAGACCGAGTTGTAGAATGTTTTTTCTGGGCTATGGGAGTTTATCATGAGCCTCAATATTCCGTTGCTAGAATCATGCTCACCAAAACCATTGCAATGACATCAATAATAGATGATACATATGACGCCTATGGCGTAGTTGAAGAACTCGAAATTTTTACGGAGGCCATTCAAAAGTACATATTTCTTCCATTGCATGTATACTTAATATTTAGTTTTAAAAAAAGATAGTTTTGTTATATTAATCAATTGTGTACTCATGATTGGAATCATTTTAGGTGGGATATTAGCGAGATTGATCGGTTACCAGAATATATCAAACCATTTTATAGTGCTCTTCTAAATCTTTATGAGCAATTTGATGAAGAATTATCGAAAGAAGGACGATCTTATGCAGTCTACTATGCAAAAGAAGCGGTTAGTATTACTTTTTTACTCCTCTATTATGTTATTCCTATTTTTCTTACTTCTATTATGTTCCTTATACCTAAGGTACCCTGGTTAACTCACACACGTCTAAAAAAATTGTTCAGCTAAAAGAGCTTGTGAGGACATACTATGTGGAAGCCAAGTGGTTTATCGAAGGATATTTGCCACCATTTTCGGAGTACATGAGCAATGCCTTAATAACGTGCACTTACGTTTATCATACAACTACATCCTTATTGGGGATTAAATCCGTCACCAAGGAAGAATTTGAATGGCTAAGCAATAAACCTAAAATGCTTGTTTCAAGCCTCATAATATGTCGGCTCATTGATGATATTGCTACCTATGAGGTAACAAATGCACTAATTTTGTTACAAGTGCACAACAATTCTACAAATTAATAAATTTATTTCCCTTATTGAAGAGTTTCTCCAAATTTTGTCTTATTGAAGGTTGAGAAGGAAAGGGGTCAAATTGCAACCGGCATTGAATCATACATGAAGGAGAATGGCGTGACTAAAGAAGTGGCCGTCGATAAATTTTTTGAAATGGCTACTAATGCATGGAAGGATATTAATGAAGAATGTTTCCGACCAAGTTCCTCTCCGAGAGAAATTTTGATGCGAATTCTAAACCTTGAGCGCATTATAGATGTCACTTATAAAGGTAATGAAGATGGATATACACAACCACAAAAAGTTCTAAAGCCTCATATTATTGCTTTGTTTATTGATCCCATCGAGATCTAAATATTATTTGGGATCAAGTTGGAGAAAAATGGATATCTTTAAATTTTAATTTGCTTTTCTTTTAATTTATATCCTTGTATATAAAAGCATTGAGTAAGGTGTAGAAGTTACTCGAACAGTGACTGTTATGTTTTTTAATGTACTTCCTTTTTTAAGCCATTTATTCTTCAATATTAATGACATTCACGGTCAAAATTAATGCATCGAAATCACTGGATGCCTTCCTTTGCCAGTGGACAACAGAAAAACGAGACAAAATTCAACATTAACAACGTCTATTAGTGTTTGGTACAGGTAGAATAATCAATACTAACGTATAGTCAAACAATCTTTTTCTAGTTCTCTAGGATACTTTTTATCCTATATTAGGTAGAGAAATAATCAGCATCAGCAATATTATTTTTAAATAATCTTGTTCAAGTTCTGTGAAATACTAATTAACCTCAAAAAGACCTAGGATTTAAGGAGGTTTCATTTTAATTATTTCAATTACTTACTTTATTTCATTAGAGATCATATTTATATTTTCTAAAATTTTCAAGACTTGAGGTGCAGTTTTTACATCAACATTGTGTTAAGAGTAGTTCAAACCATTATATATTTGTCTATAATTCGGTAATTATTAGATGTGGGATTTATCTCTGCTAAATTATAGGTAAAAATAGACATTTGGAGCTAGTATAGATTAGACTGCAAACATTGAACAACACATAAGGCGTTGCATTCTGCACTATCTAGCACAAATCCACAATCTTTTGCAAAGGCAAGTCTGTGTCTTGAGGCGAAAGCTTTGGTATCCTCCGGGCTAAGCACAATGACATCGGCTAAAAATTGGTGTTCCAAATCAAGCATCATTCTGATTCTAGCATTGAAAGGTATATAGCATGTATGGTGGCTAAGGGCTTTCACCAATGTCTTGGGGTCGACTACCACGACACGTTTAGCCCGGTAGTTAAACCAGCAAACATTCACATTGTGTTATCTATTGTTGTAAGTAAAGGTTGGGTTGCTCATATATTGAATGTTAATAATGCTTTCTTGCATGGAAAACTTAGCGAAGAAGTTTATATGACTCAACATCCGGAGATCATTGATGACTTTCAGCCTTCACATGTTTGTCACCTCTACAAGGCTCTTTATGGCCTCAAACAAGTCCAAAAGAGAGCACGATTTAAGTGTTGATATTGTTCTTGACTGTCCATTTTCACTCGATGTTCGCACTTCAACATATAAGGTGTGAATATAGCACAAAATGCCAGCATCGACAAGCCAGCTTATAATATGATCCTACAACCATTTATACAGGACCGTACCTGAAATTTTATGTGCCTTGTGTGACATTCTAAAATGGTGCTTATTTAATTTAATTAAAAAATATATTAAAAAAATATATTCCAATAATATTATTTCATTGTAAAAATATGATATTTAAATATTAGTTTTTTTTATATGTCACGAATAAGAAAGTACAAGTAAAGTTCAAAAGCACCTTCCAACTTCATCAAAATTCTTAAGTCATCAACAAAATACCATCCAACCTACTAATTTCTTTGTGCATTTCTATATTAACAAACATTGATATCAAAAGTAGCACATACACCGTGTAAACCTTGAAATGCAATAAATCATATAGAAGTATTCTTATCATATTTTTATAAGGAAATTCACTAATTAAACTTTTGTAATTAATATGTTCTAACAAATCTTGTTCAATAGATATCAAACATGTGTACTACCAATCAAACGAAAATGTAGAAAACTTGGGAATAAGAAATACAATAATATTAAATAAGAGTCATTACTGTCTGTTTGTCTTATCACATATCACATGACTCATCCAAAAGGCAAAAGTCAAAGGGAAAAAATTGAATGTAATCACTTATGAATTATTGTCAAACAAAAACTTACCTTTTTAGAACCAAAAAACCCCCCACAAAATAACAATTAACACATGAACAATTGGCACCATTAAAATGGCTATATTACGATACATATTGTACTATTAGAGAGCAAGTAACAAAAATTGATAGTAGAGTCTTTTCTCTTTTATATTTGACTATTTTTCATAGGTTAAAGAGTGGGAGAGACAGAAATGATAAAGGGAGAATTAGGGTTGCTTTTCACTCCTCTTTAACCATTTGGATTTTCGAAATGCTAAATGAGCCATGTACCTCTGATACCAAACTGACACGCCCTACCCCCGATAAAGCTAGTGGACTCGGAGTGTGACGTGTGCCGATGATGGATACCAACTAAAAGTTGGACCCACCATCAAGGCTACTACAATGTGAAACTTATAAAATATTTTAATGAAAATTTCGGCATTATCTCCCATGTATTTTGGACTAACCAACCTGTAAATAATTATATACAACTCCCAACAATAGTACCATGTCAATACCAACTCATGATTATATAACACAGTATAGAGATAAACTGAACTCTTAATACTTTTACTATGAAAATGACATCAACTGTACATGTGGATACAAATACATAGTGAGCTCATCTAACTATTTACAAGTGATGTAACATGACATACAAAAATGAACATGTGTCTCAAAACACTAACTACATGCCCTAGAAAATGAGTCATACTAGCTTAATTCGTCGGCAGTCCAAAATCAAGGCTCAACTCCACAGGATGCCAAAAACTCAACCGCTACCTAATAAGGACATAGTTGAAAAATATATGAGTCGATAGTTCAATGAGTAGAGAAGTTCAAAAATATTTATACTTTCCATTTACACATTTTTATCATCACCAAGTCCATAGTATAATAGCATATAACAACAACAACAACAACAACAACAACAACAACAATAATAATAACAATAATAATAATAATAATAATAAAGTGAGACATTTCATAACATTGACCAATATCATCTACCAGTCATGATATAATCATCAACGCAAATCCATATCATCATCTTATCACATCACATGTAATCGACCAAAAATGTACCCTCTGATCGAAATCAATAATCTGCCCCTCGGGCTAACTACTTTCGTCATGACCCGTAGGCCTCTCCGTGACTGAAAGTGGGTCTCAAAGACCTCTCATAATCAATATTAGAACACGGCCAAGGCCACTCGGTGAACTACTGTACACGGTCAGACCCCTTCATCCTCAATCAAAACCCCTCGAGTAGTATAGAACACGGCCAAGGCCACTCCGTGAACTAAAATAAGTATATAATCATAGGTACTTTTTTGGTCAATCTCAATACCACATATGTCTCACATTTCAATTCAAAAATAATCCATACACAATCTTTAAATTTCCACACCGATCACAATGAAGAAATATTTCCACATTAATCATATAATTGGACAAATAATTCATATAATTGCATAAAATGTATAGTAATAGAATTAATTATCAATACTTGAAAAATATGTAAGTTTTTTCACTCACAAACTATTTACGGGACGATAAGTTCGGCTGATGAGCTGTCCCAATCTTTTCGTTACCTCCTGATATGATAATAAATTTATTCGGGTCAAAATTCAATTCACAATTTTAATAATAACAAAATAGAATAACCATTTCATTTCTCTTTAATAATTTACCAACTAATCATCCCATGTCAAATTCATTACTCACTCACTTTATACTTATACAACCTCCATATACAATTTAATTCAATACCTAAACTTCTATATTTATCATTTAGTTTCATTCAACTTGTAAAATTTGAGGAATATCAAGTTTTGACAAAAACAGCACTAAAATTCCATAATGTAGAAATCTGTCACCTGTTTCTATATACTGAAAATTACCACAAACTATTGATAGAATTAGCACTTTCTAGAAATAATTTCAGAAATAACATATGTATATGATTTTGTCCAAAATTTGCTAAAACATGGAAAATTCTAACTTCAAATCCTTAATTTCAGTATCTAGCATCATATACTCAAAACAAAATCAAAGAATATGACAAACTCATTTTAAAGTTCTAATTCCTTATCAAATTTCGAATTTAGGGAAAATTTACATAAACCCTAAAATCTAATATCATTCAAAAATAAGTAAAATTTATGCTTACCGTTAATAATTGACAAAGAAATTGAAGATAGTAACCTAATTTTCTCCCTTTTGCCTTTTCTTCTTCCCTTTTGCCTTTTCTTTCCTTTTCTTTCTCTTTTTCTCTCCTTTCTTCTCTCTGGCACGTTCTCTGTTTTCTTCTCTCCAAAGGAATGAGAAAATGATAGAAAAGTCAAATGTTTATTGTATAATTATGAGGAAATTGCAAAGTTAAATCCCCATTTCCTTACCATATATTATTTAGTCCTTCCCTTTTCTAATAATATAAACTACCATCCTAGATTTATTTATATATTATTTCTAGCCCTTCAAGTATTATTAATTACCAATTAGTCCCCATAAATTTTTTTTTTCCAATTTAATGCTTATTTGACTTTGACTTTGACAATAAGTGGATGAGGTGTAACAACTCTTGACCTCGGAGAGAACTCTTTTCGTTGCACTAAAAGCAGACTCCGAATCTACAGTGCTAATAGGGGGTGTTAGCAGATCTTTTGCCATTGCAGAAACTATTGGCTAGTGGCGTTCATACCTTCGCCAGAAATCAATTACTTCTTCTGATTTTTTCCTAATTGCGTTGTTACTAGGCATATTATGATTAAAATAATCAATTACTTCAGTAGGCAACGCATTTGGACTATTACTCGATGTTTAAGTACATGCAATGGAAGACAAATTACTACTACTAGAGGAACTACATACATATGTAGTTGAATCATATCTATATGAGTTCATGCATTGGAATAAATTTATAACTTCAGCATCGTCATCTCCTATTAGTGGGGGGAGTATTTGTAGAGCCGAATAGTACACAAGTAATATGTGTACCCATTCGTGAAACATATACTTCATACATTTCACATAAAGTTTGTTCCAAATTCCTATAAGTAATAGATACGTTAAAGGTTAAAGCATTTGAAATTTGACTTTGGGCAGGTATTTCGCCTCCGACACCAAACAAGTTTTCAACAAACGATCGTGATAATTGAAATTGAATGTTGAAGACTTTAAGTAGAATTGAGAAGTGAATGAAGATTATGTAATAGTGTAAAAAATAAATTATAAAATCAAGATTATAACTCGACAATGTAAAAATAAAATGTAGAAGAGTATAGATTATAGAATGATAATAATGATTTGTAAATAAATTGTAGAGTAGAGAATGAAAGATTGATAGTAAGTTTGGTGGGGAAAAATGTTGTAATGGATGGGTATTTATAGGGAAGAAAAATGAAATGAAAAAAAAATTATAAAGGACCGAAACGGTCGCTAAAAATTCAGTGACTAGAACGGTCACTGAATTTTAATCTTTTTAAATGAGCCACGAGACGAGCCGGCTTGTAGCTTGCAAAAAACACGAGCCCACTAGCCTGGCTCATGGGCTTTGCTCGGCGACATGTTCGTCGAGCAACTCGTCTAGAGAGCCAGCCTACCAGCTTGTGCTCGAGCTTGTTTTTGTCGAGGCGATGAGCCACTCGGCTCGGTTGCCACCGCTACATTTATACCATATCATAAGCTCATTGTAATGGATATATTGTCAATTAAATTAAACTCATAGTCGCATGATGAATATTGTACACTATTGTGTAGCCTTGGGGGTCTAGAAGTTAGACATGTAGAGTAAATTGTACTACAACTGTGTTGGTCAAGTACAAACAAGTATACAACACGTGAATAAAATTAGAAAAATGCTAAACGACCCGCGCCGGTGACCGCAAGGATGACCACACCCTCACAGCCGAGGCGCGGGTCCC